CTCTTGGGGTACCTCCCCCTTTCATTTCTTCTTGCAGCTTCCCTTGTACTGTTCTTCTCAAGTACTTCTGAGTGTGTGTGTTTTAGATTTTCAACACTACAGCCCCTGTTCCACCACCCAGATGAGTAGATCCAAAATCAGAGAGGAGCTTTACCTCTATTGCACACAATGAAGCACACTTGACATGAGCCAATCCAACAAGGAAACAGTTTGACCTCTATGGCAAGCAACATGGGGCACGCAATAGATGCATTATAATTTATAAGTGTATATCCCTTTCTTCACTATCTTCACTTTGGCTTTCTTTGGGGTATTTTTGTTCTTGCAGCTCCCCTTTTACCGTGCCTCTCTCACGTACAAGGCTGGCCACGTTGATTGTGGTTTAGCGCAAGCTGCCCACATCCCCGTGTGCCTTAATGGCACACTTGCACGTTATGATAGGAGGAGGCAAGGGATGAAGGAGATCCAACCGCGGTTGCAGCAGGTGTATGCCGAACGCTGCATGCAGGACATGCTAGGAGAGGATGTGGCGGGTGATGGCATCGGGAATAGTCGACGCAGCAGAGACATTCTTTCGATGACAGCCTCCCAAAAACATTGACGACACATGGCATGTTGCTGACATGTGAGCAGGAAAGCAGGCTGACTACGTTCGCAGCTATTTAAGCATGGCAAGTCTAGTCAACAACTGCGTATTGGGCAGGCAATAGGGGTGGAGGGGATGAATGCAGGTGCAATGACTTGTTGATGTGGCTGCTGGGTTTTCACTGTGAGGCTGTACAGTACAGTGATAGGGATAGATTTGTAATTTTGTGTGGCCGAGGGACCTGTCTGCAAGGAAAATCTGTGAGGGACATATCTGCAAATTTGGGGAAAATATAGGCCCGTACTAACTAAGATTTCCTACAGCACAATGGATAGTGTTTCGCCTGGAAACCCCGCTCGTAGACCTGCCGTTCAACCCGGGGGAGTGGCATTGGAAGCCGGTACATAGGTCGCCACAAACTTCAGATAGGCAGCTGCTCAGCCTGTCCGTGAAGGACACATACCGGCTGCTGCGCCCAAAGGTGAACTTGAGAGAGATCGTGAGGGCCCGCTGGCAGACCCATCTGAATGTGGGACAAAGAACCCTTCGCCCAATCCGATGGTTTACAACCACGAGAGTTAAACCGGCAAAGTTCGCTTCCCTGCAATGGCAGATAGAGCATTGCTGCCTTCCCACTAACAACTGGCTGGTAGACCGCACGTATCTAGAACAGAGGCTCGGCACTGCCATGGTGTAAATCCTGCCACACAGCCTTCCCGTCTCAAAAGATCCCCGAAACCATAGAAAATATCTTCCTGCAGTGCCCGGGGGCAGTGCTAACATGGCGATGGTGGGACAGGATATGGAGCCTGCTTGAAACTGATTCCACCTGGCCATGGGATTGGAGGGCGCTGATTTGCAAAGCATGGACCTCCCCCTCAGACAGCGACTTCGAGAACATGTTTAAAATAGGAAGGAGAGCCATTATCTGGGCACTATGGAGAAAACGCTGCACACTGTCCATGGAAGGGGTTCGAGTAGAAGGGGAGGAAGTGACGGACATGATCAGACAATTTATCAATCAAGAACTCCTTACGCGGTGGCAAAAGGTTAAAAGCCAACTGGACAGGCTCCACGCAAAAAAAAAACATCACACAAGCAATCAACCAATTCTCAAGGGACTGGCTGGGAAGCGAACAGGGGGGCTGGATTGCACACATCCAATGGGAGGGAGGACAAACGCAGGGGCAAACGCAGGGGCAGGAACGGGAACAGTTCAGAAGGGACTACAACATAGGCTTCAAGGAATGGACCAAAGTGGACCAACGAGTCCCACTGCGACCACCCTCAGACTTCCCCGACCCCTTTCCGCCTCATCAGCTGGCAATGGTGGACATGCAATGGTACGGAGCAGAGTAAGCGGGTCAGCGGATCGACGCAACAGAACAGCGATGGCACAACGAGGGCTGGGTGCAAGAGTGCGGGGCCAGAGGAGGGAGGAAAGAATCAGCTTTTGAGCCACGGTGGGGAGGGAAGAATCAGCTTTTAGCCACGGTGGCAATAGTAGAATCAGTCCTTTTCCTCCTGGTTTCGAAATCCTGCTTTCTCGGCTGATCCTTCTGTAAGAAGAGACGTACTCAAAGGGACGCTGGACCCGGTTTCCAGCAACAAAAAGGAGTGGGGCTCGCGGGGGGAGGGAGGAACTTGTGCGTAGCAATAGGTATCTGGCGCCGGTTCCAAGGTGAAGAGGTTCCCCCCTTCCCTGCCTCCTGCTCAGTCAATCCCCTGGAGGTCAGGGTAATCAATGCTGGCAGGAATCAAATTCAATCTGTATATGGGACGCTGGGCCCGTTTCCCAGCAGGTGATGCTCCCCACCAATAGATGGAGCCTCTCCCCAGGTGCTAGTGGTGTCTGCTCTTATCAGCACCACTAACACTGGTGGGGGCGTGTTAAACAAAACAAAAAAAAAAAACCAAAAAAAAAAAGATTTCCTACAGCACCCTAATTGTGAATAGCAGGCCTGGGCTACCCCATAGGACGGACAGGCCCTAACGGCCTACTCCAATAGACGGTCCTATAGCCTATAGCCGGGTCGGGAGAGGCCCTAGAGGCCGAAACTGGAAAAGTACCGGTCGGTCCAGTCGGTCTGGTCTAGGTCGTGTCTAGGCTAGTGTAGTCTATTAATAGATTGCGGAATTCTGAGTCTGTTGGGGACTTTTGACAGTGGCATTTTTCGTTGGATACGGAAGTTGAGCCAAGGAAGGAGGAAGTGACGATTGACTGCAGGTGGCATCCTGAGTCCCTCGTTGTGGAAGACAGCCATAGCCAGACCTCTGGGGCCATAGCTGGGGCGCCCTCCACGCACTCACCCCTGAAGGTGCTTGCGATTGTCTGGGCTACTAGGAGGCTCTACGGAGCGGTTTGTGGGTGACCTACTGCTGCTGCTACTTCTTCTGTGATGGCTGTGGCAGCAACAGTGGTGCTGCAGCCATAGCTGTAGTTGTGCCGGCATCAGAAACCTGAGCGCTGGTCTTCTTCTTCATCAGGCTGGTTGGCGCTGCCCTCTGAGAGTCGGTTTCTGAGTGGCGCTACTAACAGGGTGTAGGAGTTAGGGTGCAGCGTGAGTTTCAGTGGTGGCGAGATACTGGGAGAGGACTCTTTAACATACAGTGTTAATATTGGCTCAAACTTGGTTAAGTTCTGTTGTTATCCTCGAAGTGTCATCTTATGATTGGTTGTTGGGAGTGTCGTCAGAGAGAGAGAAACACTGTGTGTTGTCTCCACACTCTGTGCACAACTGTTTCCGCTGCTTACCTTGTCTGTGTGCAGTGTGTACTCTGTCTCCTCTCCCCTTCTTCTTATGCGTGTATGGGCATGTATGAGATCGTCTGAGTGTGAGTGTTGATTGAAATTGACAGACAACCAAATTCATAACACAGGACAGTGGGTCACATTTTTCAACACTCTGTGTGTGTGTGTGTGTGTGTGTGTGTGTGTGTGTGTGTGTGTGTGTGTGTGTGTGTT